GATCTCCTACTCTTGGGATTTTAGTTAGTGTGGGTATCTTTCCTTTATCCTTAGTCGTAGTCCCCCTTCCTATATTTTTCGTTGTAGTTTAATAGTCTTATAAAAAATAATAAAATACCACCTTGGGGGTTTTAAAAAAAAGATTGTACACAACTGGAACAGCAGTGCCATGTTCCCAGATAGTTTTTCTAGACTGACTTCTCTTTTTCTTTTTCTTCTTTTTTTTTTTGAGCCCCTGAAGGGGATTTTTTATTATTCTTTTTCAAACTACAAAAACTATCACAGAAAAAGGGAAGGGGGACTACATATACGGGACAAAGTATAGAAACCCACTACTGACTAAAAACCCAAGAGAGGAGATCCTCACTAGCTTTATTACATCAAGTCTTCACTTCAATTTAGATCAATATAAACTGAGTCAGACATTTAAGTACTTTTTCCTTTTCATTAACTCTTAAAACTTAACTGTCTAAGAACAGTACCCCCCAGTCATCCCCATTCACTCGCAAAGGCATAATTCAGAGTCTTTCAGCCTTTACTTTTCTTTTCCTCGTCTCTTCCGCAGCTTATAAGGACTTTTTGGGGTAGCTGCCCCTTGCTCCGTCAGAGAGTCCTCTCCGGAAGAACCCAACTCGCCACTAGACTTGCTGTCCTCTTCTTTTTTCCCATCCTCTGGTCTTCCCAGCTGAACCCTTAGAAATTCTTGGGCTTTCAGAACAGAGTCAATCTTTTCTTTTTTATCCTTAAATTTGAAAGTAACGCTTTCTGGAAATAGCCATTTATATCCAATTGAGTTTGTCTGAAGGAAAAGCACAAGCTCTTTGTACTTCTTTCTCCGTTGTCTTGCTTCAAATGGAATATCCTTTAGCGTTCTGATAGTATTCCCCCCCACTTTCAGTGGTACTCCAGAACCCGCTTTCAGGATTGCATCCCTCACATGCCTTCTCAAGAATCTTATAACAATTTCACCAGGCAGATTATTTTTCTTTATATAGCCTGAATATGATCGACAGACCACATCCATATCGCTCAGCAACGCTTCTGCTTTCATTTCTGTCACTGGGGCTAGCAATTCACTCATAACTTCTTTAAGATTCTCTCCCAATTTTTCCGGCATGCCCTGGAAGCGAAGAATCATATTAGCCTTTTCCATTTGCACTTGTAACAGTTGGTCTTCCATGGAGATTTGTTTTCTTTCCAGCTTTTGCACTTTCTTCTTCACCTTCTGTGTAGTTGCAGCCACTTCCTTTACCTTCTCAGTATCTTGCTTCATTATTTGCAGCATATCATTTATCTGAGTTTGTTGAGCAGTAATACTTTGAGTTACTAGTACAGACATCTGTTCCTTGAAGTTATTCAGCTGTTCCAGCAGAGGACGCATATACTCTGCTATAGCCT